GCTGGAGGACGCACCGGAGGCCGGGCTGGAGGCTGGGATGGAGGCCGAGCTGGAGGCCGGGCTGGAGGACGAGCTGGAGGCCGAGCTGGAGGACGAGCTGGAGGACGAGCTGGAGGCCGGGCTGGAGGCCGGGCTGGAGGCTGAGCTGGAGGACGCACCGGAGGCCGGGCTGGAGGCTGGGATGGAGGCCGAGCTGGAGGCCGGGCTGGAGGACGAGCTGGAGGCCGGGCTGGAGGACGCACCGGAGGCCGGGCTGGAGGCCCCACTGGAGCAGCAGAGCCCCACGCCAGTACCAGCTCACTACCACTGGCAGCTGCGGCCCTCGACTGGGGCGCGACCGCTGCTGGTCCTGCTGCTGCTGCGTACAGCTGGTCAGGCGCGTGAGGGCCCGTCCCGTCCGTCGCGGCCGTCGGCTCCGCTCTGACGGAGCCGATGCTTGTCGTGCTGGTGGCGACTGTCACGGCTGCTGCCCGCGGCCATGCTGCACCCAGCACACGCGTCCCGCGAGTCCCCCGTGGCTCGACCACGGCCTCCAGCCGGTGCCGGTGGGCCCTACCGCGGGTCTCCGCGGATCCCGTCGAGCTTGTGCTGGGCTCGGTGACCGCGATGACGGGTGTTGAGCGTTGAACCTGAACGAGGGCACCCTCGTCGAGCTCAGGAGGCTCGGGATCTGACGCAGAGGAATCCGGTTAACTTCGTCATGGACAGACACGTCCTGTCTTGGCAGAAGTAGTACCGGGTGTCCCGTCCCGGCTCTTACGCCATGCCAGCATGGTGGGTTGCATACGCGCTGGCGCAGACAGGACTGCACTGTAGATCAGGGGTGTCCAGCCATAGTGCGACTTCAGTTGCACGACGCACGCACGAACCTGTGCAACTTACGTCGCACTATTGCTCGACACCCTGTGTTTTGCCACCCTTTCCCTGCAGACTAGAACGGGCAAGGGCTGTCAAATGACAGGACACCCTACTGAGGCGCGGCCTCGACCCTTCTGCAGGGAAAGGGTGCCAAAACACAAGGTGTCGAGCAATAGTGCGACCTAAGTTGCACAGGTTCGTGCGTCGTGCAACTTCAGTCGCACTATGGCTGGACACCCCTGATTTACAGTGTAGGGGACCCGTCGAGGGACCCGTGTACCGGGTATCAGAGAAGACGCAGGTGCGGGCGGGTTTGCCTACACAAGGGGCTATGGCGCCTTACAGGTGGAGAGGGTAGGCAAACCCGCCCGCACCTGCGTCTTCTCTGATACACCCGGTACGTCGCGGCCCCCCCCGAGGCTCAGTCCCGCGAAACCGCGGGCACTACCGCGGCAAGGATTTCCGCGCATAGGCCGCTGTTCCACGGGGACACTCGCAGTTCTGCGGGGCTGAGCCTGGGGGTGGCCGCGAAGACCATGGGTCGCCCTATGAGCGCCTAAGAGTCAGCGCGTATGCAACTCAACGGGGACGAGACACCCGGGAATACTTACAGGCTGGACTCAGCTGGGCGAGGATGGCTTCGTAGACTGCCAACTTATCGCGCAAGTCATGAACTACGCACTGCAAGAGTCGAGGAATTAAGCTATAATGACGTTCTCTCAAAGCAGCACATTTACCTATGTGTGTATCGGCTGTATCAGACAAGCCGCAGGTGCGAGCAGGTTTGCATACTTGCTCTGTTCGTAAAGGCAGCTTAGCCCCTTGGGAAGGCAAACACGCCTGCACTTTCGTCCTCTCTGATACACCCGGTCCCGGAATGTGTGGCACCGACCTGTAAGAAGCTGATACACTCGTCCTGGCGGGTCATATCCAAGCGAACAAGTAGTACTACGACTGCACGACTGTTCCCCCACTGTTTCAACACAACAATGAAGGGGATTGTCTGGGCTGCCGGCTGACTCGACCCGCTCCGTTCTCGCTTGCACTGTACCACATAGTAGTAGTGTGTAAGTGGTAGGCCGAACTGACACCCGATCTGCGCCATTCCAAGCATCACCCGGAAAAACTGCGAGACACGGAGAGGCTTACGTGGACGCTGCTGGCTGGCCGGTTAAAAACAGTTATTCATATAACTTTTCCTTTTTAAATAAACCAAGCTCTCTCAACAGAGGTGGGCACAGTGCGCTCAGGCACTCGCCTCTGACTGAACTCAGTGCGCGCGCGCACTCATGGAGCGCTTAAGCTAAGAGTCTTCCGTTTTTGTTCTTTTACTTCCGCTCAGCGCTCTAGACCAATACCCTATAACAGCTTTTTCTGGAAAATGAATTAGCCGTAAATGTCTCCACGTACAAACGTGCTACATGCAGATCTGAATCTCAAATTTGGGAATAACTCTGCAAATTATATAGTTGGGTAAAGGGTAGGCAGTACATAGAAAATCAGTTTTTTTTTTTGTAGAAAAATGTTGATTTTATTTACCAACTTAGCAGATTGAGATTCCATAGGCAATGAAGCTTTCAAGTCATTCTTAAAGACCTCGAGGCCAGAGGACAGAGACCAGTTTGCTCGCCACAAATTTGATAAAAAATAAAAATAATAACAGATAGATAGATCCTAATCTAAAACAAAAATGACATTGACTAGGAGTAGGAGCAACAAAACTTGCAAAAAAAAGAAGAAACAAAACAAAAATGTACAATTTCATTTTTGGTTGGATAGTCGCTTCTCAGCATATTTGAGCCAGTTCTTTATTGCTTCCTCCGCAGTGGGTACTACTAACCCTGCTGATTCCTTGTTACAATCTAGCAAAGCACCTGGAAATAAATCAAATTAAATTAAAATGTATCTGGAGGTAATATTGTCAAAAAAAAAAACTTTTGGAATTTGATAAGAAATTTCACCACCAGCCTCCAATTTCTCACCTTTTAAAACACTCTGAAGCTTACTCTTAGAAAATGCCATTTTCCCCCTTGACCCTTTCCAGTTGAATTCGGTTGCCAATTCATCTGACATAACAACCTTTAGCATGTTGTATGTCTGACATTTCAAATCCTTCGAACTATCACTAGATGTTGACAAAAACTCGGTCTGAAAGTGAGAGATCAATCAACAAACTGGGAAACAAAAGGCACACATTTTGAAGCTGTGGCTTGAGATGGAAATCTTAAGAGTGGGTAAGATAATGTTCATGTGTTCAATGAAAATCTGTCACTTATAGTTGATCAAAATTTCTTTAAATTCAGTTTGAATGTCAGTTTCACCAACATTGTTCATGTGGAAGTATGAACAAAACTTCACATTTAGCAATAAACTATTGTACCAAATAATATTAGGCTCATTTGAAGCCAAAGTTGGCCAGTATAAAACAAAAAGTTCATCGTGTAAAGTTCGTGCAAATTTTGATTAAAGAAAAACACACCTATTTGGGATATTTCTCAGGATCCACTTCACACTTCTTACATATTTCTAAGCTAAAAACTAAGTTCTATCAAGCAAATTTTTTAAACTTTGAGCTTTGGTTTATAAGATA